CTCTCCCCCCCTTCTACTTTCTCTGAAAAGCAATGAAAAAACATCCTCGGCTGAGGATAAGAAAAATGGAGCCCAGCCAGGCGTGGCTCATTAGCTGAGTGTCGACCTAGGATCCAGGCGATCGGGGTTCGATTCCCGGTCGGGGCACATGCCCAGTTGCGGGCTTGATCAATGACTCTCCCATCATTGATGTTTCTATCTCTGTCTCTCTCTTTCCTTTCCTCTCTCTGAAATCAATAAAGACATTGGAAAAAAAAAAAAAAGGAAACAAACCAAATTCCTACTGGGAAGGACTGGGCATGCAAACCGTGGTCTAGCCACTCACTGGATCACCACGCAAACACCAAGGCGCACACAGAGGTCTCCAGAATGAAATGAAAACAGCAAGTGGCCAAACAGACTTCAGGCAAAACCTCATTTGTATAAACGGTAAAGACCGCACTCTGAAGCAGCTTGTATCAAAGTGACGGGGGAGCTCGTTCTGCGGGCAGGATCACGTATGTGTGTGTATTTATACATACACCCCCCCCCAGATGTTTCTCATTTTATCATAAACATTACATTTGAAATCAGAAAAACAAAGCTCAGGAACAATAAAAATTACAGTTTAGAACATGCAAAACAATTTCTAAATAAAAAACACTGTCTACTTTGGCTAATACAAGTATCAGAATCTGGTTTTATTAAGATTTATTAAGTGAAATGTCAAAGAGTAATAAGATTAGGTGTTCTAAGGTTTTTATGATGCCTAGTACAAAGCTCAAATAATCATCTGTAAATAAGGTCTTGGCATATTAAAAGTTTAAATTCATATTCTCTAATGAGTTAGTCTTAGTAAGCGAACTACAGCCACATAACGTTATGTAAGTCTAACTGGTTTTTAAACTTTGCTGTCACAACAAGGATCCCGCTTACCTTGATCTCCAGTGTTATATCAAGATACGGGTCAAAGGTATCTGAAACGCCTTTGCAATTTAAACATTTGACTGAAATAAAAACAAAATGCAAAGATAAGCAAAGTGCAATCGTTATGGCAATGCCAACTATTAAGGTGACAGAACACAAAAATACTGTTTCAAAATGAAAAATTAAAATAAGGTACAGTTTTCTCCTATCAGATTGGGCAAGAGGTTTTACTACTGCACACTTCGAATGAGTGTCATGGATTTGGCGCACGTGCACTGCCGGCTGGAATGTAAACTGGTGTAACCTCCTGGAAGGCCCATAGGGCAGTGTCAGGTTACACACACAGCCTTTAATGCAGAAATGCTGAGAATCTACCCTCACACACACTTTACATGGACATTAATCATGTGCACAAGGATATTCATGAAGCATTGATGATAATTTTAAAAATAAGAAATGACCTAATTACCTCTTGTCAAGTGCCTAAAACAAATGAAATGCTACGCAATTGTGAAGACTCAGACATGTGTGTGCTGAAATGCAGACTTCTAATGTTAGGAGAAAACTGAAAGGGACATTTCTAACATGTGCCCAGTCTGTTCATGCACAGGAAGCTACTGGAAGGGTAACAGAAACTGTGGAAGGGTTGTCTTTGAGAAGGGGGTGGAAGTCTGGGCTGGACAGAGGACACACTTTCCATTCTCAACCCTTCCTGCAGTTTGCATGTTTTTTAACCATATGCATGTATCACTTTATCAATGTTTTATTTTTTAAGATTTTTAAATTGCTTTTTAGAGAGGAAGGGAGAGGGGGATAGAGAGAGAGAAACACTGATGTGAGAGCAGACATCAATCGGCTGCCTGCTGCACACCCCATTCCGGGGACTGAGCCAGCAACCCGGGTATGTGCCCTGACCAGGAATCAAACTCAAGACTGAGCCACACCAGCCAGGTCCACTTTATCAACTTTTAAATAAAAGTTTACCTCTAGATCTTAGGTATCCTCCAAATATCTGACAAACGAGCGTGGTAGCCTGGGTGTGTCTGTCTAATCTGAAAAACAGTCAAACAGTGATGTGAGAAGAGTCCCACAGAAATCCCAGACATTACGGCCAGACCACAAAACCACGTACATCTACAGAGGAACAAGAATTCAGGCAGGTCAGCCACAAAACAGGACGTCAGTGCACGTGGCAGCCAGAGGACAGTCATGCCTAACCGGGGAGCAGTGACGGTGGGGAGGCAGGGAAAGCAGCAGGGCGGGATGGAGGGGCTTTAAACCAAGGCAGGCATTTGGCCCTGAAACAAGAGGAGGACACCTCCAAGCATGACTGCGACAGCGAGGGGGAGGCCTGGCGGTGAGGGCAGGACAAAGCACGCTTTCCTGTTCCGTGCCCATCCTCGCCCAGGCTCTGGAAGCCTGGCTGAAGCAGCGCAGGCGGCACAGCAATGGAGAGGAGATTTGCCAGGTGCTGCATTAGCAAGTGGGCAAGACTTGTCTCATTGTTTCTCCAAACTTCCTCCTGAGTCTGCATTTAGACTTTAAGGAAGAAACTGCAGGAACTGGTAACTGAGCAGAGTGAGAAAGACACGGGGAACAAATACAGGCTTCGGAGGCTGGGGCCAACAGAGAACACGGGGGCACAACAGGGAGGAGAAGTGGGTAGTTGGCTCTGCAGGGGGATGCTGACAGTGAGAAGTTAAAAAGTGGCAAGACCAACATTCATTTCCTGACATCTACAATTGAACAAATCCAAATTGCATAGAAAGCTCACCCTTTACGTTTTATTCACTTTAAGACAGTACATGTTACTTGAGGACAAGACAATGCAGGGTCAAAGGGTGAAGCCCACACCGCTCTGCACCCTTGTAAAGGGCAAAACTGAATCCAGCAAGCTGGCAACACACAGGAGAAACAAATGCAGTGCTGCTGTACTTACTTATTGCTGCCATTCAAGCACGCTTTTTGCATAGCATCAACAGTGTACTGAAGGAATTCATGGGCATCTTCTTGGTTTCCAAAACGAAAGTGCCTAGCTATACCTATAAAGTTTAAGACAAAGCTTTATCATCACCTAACAGGCCCAAGCTGTAATCCCCAGAAATTATATCTCATACATTATGTTAGTTAGAAAACACTTAACACATTGTTTGCGGGTAGTTTTTATTGCGCGCTCTACCACCAGTCAACGTAAAACATATAAATACGTTTCCCGCATACAATGTGCTAAAAACCACTGTACAAGGAAATAGCACTACCACAAGCTGCCCCAAGAAGAGCTTACACCTTGCCCTTTAGACCATTAAAAGCCCACAGGGACCAGAGTTTCCAAGAGCCCAAAGAATAGCCACAGAGATGCCATCTATGGCTTTAGCAAGTTAATAAAACTGTACTTGAATAAATTCAACTCTACTGTCTCAAACATTTGTCCACAATGTTATGTTAGTGCACACATCTTAACTTTGGTGCTAAACTCCCTAAGAAAACCCATGCAGAACATCAGTGTCCAAACTTATCCAAATTCTATCCTGATTACCTACATACTATATCCTCAATAACATTTCAGTCCTATTTCTAATTGAACAAACAGTTGCAAGCTGTAAGTGCATAATAAAAAACATTAAGCAAAAGTATAATATAATAAAACATTATGCAGAATTTTACGTGTAAATATATCTATAAATTGTATTAGCTTAAATCATGACTTGCCAATATTCTAGCAGTTCTAACCTACAAAAATGGCAATTTCATAATTAATATTAATCATGCCTGATATATGTTTAAGTATATGTAATTAAACCAAAAAAAATCAACTCCAGCTAAAATTTTGCCGGGATCCAAAAATGTTTAAAAATGTTTACGTTGTCTGCTCTGGCCTGTTAATAATGCCAAGGGCCAATAGAGCATCTCTTTAATCTTTAGCAGCATTTTAGGCAAAAGGATTTTAGTTTGTAAATGTATAATTATCCATCCCTGTAATTACCTAGCTAGATATCAGATTAACAGTTAGGTTTTTCTTTTTAATTTGCATGCACTTTTTATTCCAACCCAGTTAATTAAGATGATGTAAAAGTTTACTGCAAAAACACAAAGTGCATTAAGAAAATTTCAAGCAACCTGTCAGTATCATAAAAGAAAAATTTTAAAGCCATTTAAAAATTAAATAGAAAAAGTAAAATTTATCCACAGATTTGCTAAGCTACAAGTACAAATTTTTCTTTAAAAGTATAATTAACTTTATTTTGACAATTACTGTCACTGTGTATAGTATAATATTCACAAACTGAATTAAAACTAACTCAAAACAATTTAAAGAAACCTGTAGGACAGTATTAGAGTTAGTATCACTCAGCATAAAAATCCAAATATCTGGGCTGGGGAGGAAATCACTATAAAATTATCAATGATTTTATTAACAAAATGAGTTTTTTAAAAAATTTTAATTTGCTTATATTAAAGTGAATACTGTCTTTTTATATTGTCATCTTTTGCTTTAAAGTTTCAAAATCTGTTTATGTAGTAAACATTTTACTAAAAATCCTGTTACTAATTAAAGGCATATCTGTGTGTATGATAAAATGTTTGTTTCTGTGATACACAAGGGGCTCACCCTCTACCAGATAGGCCATTAAGGCCAATTAGCTAATAAATACTAATATCAGCAACTGCAGGTGACACTTACGCCGCATCTCGTTAATGACGAACATGGGCTTAATGACGTCCCCAGGATTGCCGAGCGCCTGCGTGATGTGCGCCTGCATCGTGCACATCATACAGAACCCCTCCGCGTGGCCTGGAGACGACAAATCACCCCCCAGTTAGTAAACATGACTCTACACACAGGAAGGCACGCCAGCAGGGCACGCTCTTGCAGTAACAATAACAGCTACCATGTGTCAGGTACTGAACCATGTACTTCTGTTCATTCGCATTTAATTCTCCCAAAACCTGACCGACAAGCGTATACCGGCTGCTTCACAAGAGAGGAAGCTGAAGCTCAGTTACAATCTGCCCAATGTCGTGCCCTGGCTGGGTGGCTCGGCTGCAGTGTCATCACGCACACCAAGGGCGTGGGTTCGAGTCCCGACCAGGGCACGCACCGAGGTTGCGGGTTCAATCCCCAGTCAGGGCACACACAGGAGGTGACCGATCAATGTTTCTCTCTCACACTGCTGTTCCTTTCTCTCCCCCTTCCTCTCTAAAAATGAATAAAAACATATCCTCAGGGGAGGATTAGAAAAAATTTGCCCAACGTCAAACAGTTATTAAGTGGCAGACACGTAACAATCAGATCACATCTGAATTGTAAGGCCTATGTTCTTAACTACTCTCTATACTGAAAAAATAAGGGTATTTTTCTGACACTACCATTTGCCTCAAACAGTAAAAGAATGTCTCTCATACTGGGGATTGGAAATCTCTCTGCAAATATTTGACTTTGCTGGTGACATACAGTGGTCTCTGTTGTTTTTTAAAAAAAAACACAACTTTTTAAGCATGAAAACCATTCTTAGCTCATGACTATGTGGCACTACTGGCATCTAGTGGGTAAAGGCCACAAATGCTGCTAAACATCAGCAAAGCACAGGACAGCCCCACAACAAAGAATGACTGCTCCCAAATGCCAAGCGTTGAGGCTGAGAAACACTCTTAAACTAAAGGCTTCTCAGAACCTGGCTAACAAAGCTTTAAAAGTCTCAAAGGGAGCCCTGGCTGGTGTTGCTCAGTGGTTAGAGCATCGACCCAAGAACTGAAGGGTCTCAGGTCTGATTCTCGGTCAAGGGCACCTACCTGGGTTGTGGGCTCACTCTGCCCCCAGTCTGGGCACATGTGGGAGGCAACCAGTGATGCATCTCTCTCACATCATTGTTTTTCTCTCTCCCCCCTTTCCACTCTCTTTTTTTATTGTTTTTAAATATGTCTTTATTGATTTTAGAGAGAGGGAAAGGGAAAGAGATAAACATAAATGATAAGAGAGGGTCACTGACTGGCTGCCTCCTGCACATCCCTTGCTGGGGATCAAGCCCACAGCCCGGGCACATGCCCTGACCCGGAACTGAATCACAATCTCCTGGATCGTACGTCAATGTTTAACCACTGAGCTATGACAGTTGGGCTTACTGAATGATTTGAGAGTGAAAAGGGGGGGGAGACACACACAAATTTGTTGTTCCACATATTTATGCTTTCATTGGTTGATTCTTGTATGTGCCCTAACCAGGGATCAAACTTGCCAACCTTGGGGTATGGGGATGTCACTCCAACTGAGATACCCAACCAGGGCCAAAAATTATTTTAAATAAGTTAGAAATAAAAACATTTTATAGGAAGAAAAAACAAAGTAGTAGTAAAATATAAGCAAATACAATAGCCTTTTCTCTATTAGCATTTATTTTATGCTGAATTTACACCCAAGCTGTAAGTTTTTGTTTCTTCTGGGACAGCTTTTCCTTCTGTGCAACCTTCTCTTCTGCTCCTTTTCAGTAGGGTTCGTCTCAATGTGGCAGGGAGAGATCACATACAGGTTAAATTAGCCCATAAGCTCTATAAGTTCTGTGCCGCATCTTGGGAGCTTTGTTCACCTGGATGTGCTCAATGACCAAGGAAACCCTCAAGTTCAGTGCTACTCTCTGCATTTTTAAGTGCAGCAAAAATTCAGCACTTTTTTTGGGCCAAAAACCCTGCTTCCATCCCCACTTTTTGCCCTGGGCACCACTGTAACGATGGAATGGAACACACTGCTTCTATAAAGTGCCATCCTTTAGATACTCGGTGAGTTTTCCAATATGCATCCCTTGATGACCTGGGCAGTTTCATGAGTGTTCTTAAAGTGAACACAAGATTTGACCCTATTGGTCTGCATGATTTTGTGAAGTTTCTGGGTCAAGCAAATAGTGAACCACTTTCAGAGGTCACTCCAGGCCACTTACAGGAAGAGGAAGCAGGCTTTCTTTCTCTTGACTTTTCTAAATTCTGTGACAGGTGAAACAAATTACAACATTGCTTGGTTTGGCTCTAAATGTATGTAGAAAAGTTATTTAATTACATGAAACTAAGGATACTTCCCTTTAACTGGTAAAATTACACCACCAATAGACTGTGGTAAGTTATATATATATAATACAAACCTAGAGAACCACTAAAAAGATAACATAAAGAGATGCACTCAAGAACATTATTAACAAATCAAATTAGAATTCTTAAAACATTCAGTAACCCACAGGAAGGCAGGGGTAAGAAAACAAATGGAAAACAGAAAGACCGAAAATGGCAGACTTCAGTTCTAATATATCAATAGTCATCTTAAATGTAAATGTTCTAAATACGCCAAAAAGACCCAGATTAAGAAAGCAGATTTAAAAACATGACTCAACTGCCTTCAAGGAACTCACTTCAAGTGTAATGATACAGGCAGGCTGAAAGAAAAGGAATGAAGACAAGTCATGAAAACATTAATCCAAAGAACGTAAGGATGGCTATATTAAAACAGATGGAGATTTCAGAGCAAAGAAAGCTACCCAAGAAAGGGACATTGATATAAAGGATCAATCCATCAACAAGACACAGCAATCCTAAATGTGTGCATACCCCACTACAAAGCTGCGAGATACACGAATCAAACTCACAACTGAAAAGACACAGAGAAATCCACAAATGGAGCCGGAAGCCTAAGCATCTTTTCTTTCCACAACTGACTGAACAAGGAGAAATCAGCTGCCCACAGAAGAGCTCACCACAGCATCGCCAACGGGATCTGATCGCATCTGTGGGCATAACACACACGATTTCAAGTGCTCACGGAATAAATACCAAGGCAGACCGTCTCCTGGGCCATAAAACCTCAAAAATTTTAAGAGAATCGAAATAATAAAAAGCATGTCTCACACAATGGAATCATGCTAGAAATCAGTGAGAGAGAGAACAGGAATATCTATAAACACTTGGAATAAGTAACACATTTCTAAATAATCCAAGGATCAAAAGAGTAAGTTTCAAGGAAAATTTAAAAATACATTGAACTGAATGAAAATGAAAAGACAACATAAAAGTCTGGAGACACAGCTACAGCAGTGTTGAAAAGGGAAATTTATAGCAATTACCAATATCAGAAACAAGGCCAAGGGTAACAGTGCAGACCTGCAGACAGCTAAAGGACATAATAGGGGATCCTCTGAGTAACTTTACACACATACATTTGGCAACTTAGAAAAAATGGACCAATTCCTCAAAAAAGTAAACTACCACAGTTCACCCAATATAAAATATATAACTTGAATAGTCCTATACCTATTAAGGAAACTGAATTTATAATTTAAAAACTCCCAAAGAGGAAACCTTCAGGCTAAGACGGTTTCATTGATGAATTCTACTAAATGTTTAAATAAGAATTTACATCAATTCTACACAATGTCTTCCAAAAAATAGAAAAGGCGTTAACAGGCCCCAAATTCATTTTGTAAGGCTGGTTTACCTTGATACCTAAGGATGGTACAAAAACAGAAAATTACAGACCAATCTCTCCCCATGAATACAGATGTAAAAATCCTTAAACAAGATATAAGCCAAAAAACTCAGCAAAATATTTTAAAAATTAAACACCGTGACCAAATGGAGTTTATTCCAGGGACGCAAAGATGACATAATACTGGAAAATTTCTCAGTATAATCCACCGTATTTACGCAACAGGCTAAATAAGAAATAGCACATGATCATATCAATTTGATACAGAAAAAACATTTGATGAAAGCCAACATTCATTCTCGATAAAAAGCAATCAGAAAAACAGAAAAGGGGAACTTCCTTGACCTAATAAAGGGCATATACCAAAAAAACCTTCAGCTAGTATCAAACTGGAAGCTTTCCCCTAAGATCAAAAACAATGCAAGGGATGTTCACTCTCTTATTTGACTTAGTGACAGTAGTTCCAGTCATTGAAATAGGCATGAAAAGGAAAAAGGCAAGCAGATCAGTAAGGAATAAGAGAAAATGTCCCTATTTGCATATGACATGACTATGCAAAAAAATCCAAGGACTCTACAAAAAAAGGTCGAGAACTAGTGAGTGAGTACAGTAAGGTCACAGGATTTAAGATCAACATAGAAAATCAAACATACCTTTATATACCATTAACAAACATAGACAACAAAATTAAAAATACAATGCTATTTACAATCCTTCAAAACATAAAAGAATAAAGTATAAGTCTAACAAAACAAGACAAAACATGCTGAAAGCTATACAATGCTGATAAAAGAAAGTAAAGATCTAAATAACTGGAGAGACATACTATGTGCACAGATTGGAAATGTGAACATAGCAGAGATGCCAATTCTCCCCAAATTGAGATACAGATTTAACATAATTCCTATCAAAATCCCAACAAGATTATTTGTAAATATACACAAGATTATTATATAGTTTATATGGAAAGATGAACTACAATAGCTAAAACAATTCTGAAAAAATTAAGTGGGTGGAATCCCTTATCCAATATCAAGACTTATTACCTAGTTACAGTAATAAAGACTGTGTGGAGGGACGGCACACACTTCAATAGAGCAGAACAGGGAATCCAGAAATAGACCCACATGAATATGCCCAGTGGTTTTTTTACAAAGGTGCAAAAGCAAGTCAATGGAAGAAAGAAAGCCTTTTCAACAAATGGACAGCCACAGACAAAAAAAACTAACCTCAACCTAAACCTCACACTATACAAAAATTAATTTAAAATGGATCACAGACTAAATGCAAAATGTAAAACTATAAAGAAAAAAAATAGGGGAAAATCTTCAGGGCTAGGCAAAGAGATCTTCAACTTGACACCAAAAACACAATCCATTAAAGAAGGAACTGGACTTGACTAAAATGAAGAACTTTCGTTATGTGGAGGACCCTGTCAAGGGATGAAGGGACAAGTCCCAGGTGGGGAGAATGTATTTGGAAACCTTATGAAAAGGGAACAAAGAATAAATGGGACAGGTAGAAAATAAAGTGCAAGATGGTAAATTGAAACCCAATCATGTCAATAATCTCATTAAATAAAAATGACTTACAGCCCAAAATAAAAGGCAGAAACTCTGAAACTGGGTTAAAAAACAAGACCAATCTATACACTATTTACAAGAAATCCACTTTAAATATAGACACAAATAGGTTAAAACTAA